TTTAGCACATTTTAAAATATTATGAAATAGAACTTTTAGTTGCATGAATGCAATAATATCTTAAATCTTTGTATACTGTTTTTTGGTATTATTCTTATCATAACCAAGCATTTTCTCTCAATTTATAATTAGAATGTGAATTTTACAAGATTTATAAAGTAGATCCTACAACTAAATCTTTCAGCATTTATCATTTCTAAGTTTTCTAATCTTTGTATTTCTTGAAAGTCGATATATTCTAATATTCACAAAATAATATTTTTCTCAACTCATATTTAATTAACAGTAATTCTATTAATTTTTATTAAATTGATTTTATAAACTTTAAATTTTAACAATGTTATTGAAAAAATTTTATTAGTAAAATACTTATTTTGGAAATTTAAGAGAAAATACCCATACATTTAAGTGTGGCTAATATGAATGCTTTTTTATATATTTAAATAATTTATTGTCCAAGGAGGTTGTTATAGAGAAGATAAATTTTATTAAGATTATCATTTATGTTAATCAAATACCAATAATTATTTCCTTTTTAATTCTACAATTTAGATGCAATTTTTTAATTTAATTGAAAAATATAACCATTTAATCAGTTTTTAAACACTTAAGGGATATTATTTTTGAATAGATATTAATTAATTTTGTAAAAATCATTTTGAAGGTATAACAGTAATTATACATTGTGTAATAACTGTTTATTATTTGATGTATGTAAAATTTCACATCGAGCTCAAGTTAATCAATAATTAAGATTCATATATAATACGGTTAAAGAAGATATAATTATTTCCTTAAATCTTAATAATTTCAAAATTATAATATTTTTTAATATGTTTTCAAAGTTTTTTAATATCTTATCAATTAACAGGTGATTGATATATTATCTTGAATTGAGAGTAATGTTAAAATTAATCAATATCATATTGTTTTAACTTTGTTATATAGTTTAGAAGATTAACTTTAATTTTTTTAATTCTTGTCATATCTTTTTTATTATTATTTTTGTTATTAAATATATCTTTTACTATTTATAAACTGATTTTACAAAATTATTAATTATATCTATTAAGACTTATGTTTATAAATAGTAATAAATTAAATAAATTATCAGAATATCTTATGAAATAATCATGCAGTTAGTTTTCAATTAAGTAATTAAAATTAATCTTTATTT